ACTGAGAACAGGCATTGAGATGAACATTCAGCCACGCTCAATATCTGAATGAGAGACGAAAAGAACAGTGAAAAAGACATTATCGTAATGCATAAAAAAAACAATCCATTTATTTAATAAAGAAGCCAAGAAGGTGAATGAATATTGCCTGAGTAGAGTCTGTACGTGTTTTTTTTTGCTGCTTCTGTTCAGAAGCTGTTCAATTGAACAACAAATTACTTTTTTTTGTATTTTTGCCTAAAAGCAAAGTGAAGCTGTATATACTTTTTGAACAAATGAAGAACGTCTGTTATTTTGAATTTTCTTCATTTTTAGCTAAAAGAAGAAAAATGTAATTCCACTTTTGACCAGGAACCAGTTCAAAATTATGATTTTTCTTTTAATTTTTTTGTGAAATGAAAAATTGTTCTCTTCGATAAGAAAAGTCCATAGTTCAAACTTCAAAGTTCAATGAACAATTCCAAAAAACACATATTTACCTGCCCACGCCTAAGCAATCTTTACAAAAAATGTAATAAATTTAATATATTTTTTGAATAAAAATAAATATCAGAAGCAATATCATTGTTATTTCCAGAGAAATTGTTTGTAGAAATGCCCAGTGAATTATTTTTTTTTCAAAATATTTATGGTAGAAAATTTTCTATTTGAAATCACATTGTTGTCACATAGCAAATATTTATTGAATTAGGTGTAAGAGATTTATTTTTTCTTAGCATATCGTACTAATTTTATTGCAAGGCAAATAAGAAAGTTAACTGAAAAGAATCAGTTAAATAGTTAACTGAAAAGAATCATTTCCTTCCAAAAGGGTTATAAAAATGAGATAAATAAGATTGTATTGATTTTTTTGTGTGTGCAGAAATTGAAATTTCTTTTTGGTTGTTTGTATTTTTTGGTCTTCGACCAATGCCTAAAGAAAATGTATTTATTCAAAATGGCGAGAATGAAATTGTTTGAACAATTATACTTATAATTTCTTATAACAAATCAATTAATTTATTTCGAATGAGGGATGAAACAATGCTTCCAAAACAAATCTAGAAACAATTAAAATAATTAATCATCAATTCTATCGTGCGACCAATTTTTTGTCAAGTTAACCAGCATGGACAGATTTATAAATTTAAATCCTTTAATTTCATAATAATTTAGAAGAATGATACCATAGAATTCGAGTACTATTATGCTCAACTGTAAATTGACACTGAAGAGAATCAATCCAAAATTAATATTTGATTTTTTTTTCCACATAAAATCTGTTTGAATTGAAAAGATTGCTTCAAATTTCGCCCAATAAACTAGTAAACCGACGCGATTTCAGCTATTCAAATCTAATTTTGCTGTTAATCAATGTAAATGTATCCATTCGAGTTTATTGAAGACGAATGTAACAAAGTAATTAAGCCTTTTCGACGTGCAAACGAATGATACAATTTGAAAGAAAAAATTAATAATTAATAATTAATTATTAATTAATTATTAATTAATAATTAATTAATTTTCCAATATTTGAATTGCCGTGCCCATTGTGCATTGAGTATGTTTCATATCTTCTTCCATACGCCTTATCGAATTTATTTGCCAAATTAGCCTTATTTTGTGCATGAGCATTTAATCAGAATAAGAGATGCGTTGTTGCAATCTATTGAATGTATAATTAATACTGAGAATAAATCTGTGAAATAAAAAGAACCAAGTTCATCGTTGAAAATTTGAATGAAAGTTGTTTTAGTACGATATTTCGATTTTCTTAGTGTAATTCATGAATTGAAATTCATTGAGAGTCCATGGAGGACAGTGTTTTATTGAATCGATGAAAATTTTGAAATAAAACTGAAATTGTTCGACCTTTCTCAAAATTATTTCTTTTCGTAAGAAAAGGCCATTTATTTGTTTGTGCAAACCCACTTCTGTGGACACATTTGAAATGTCAGATTGGAATTTAGTGTTGACGCTGTCATTTCGCCTGTGCAATACACTTTTGATGCTTTCAAACTTGAAAAAGAAAACAATTTTTGTTAGAAAATATTCAATTCGGAAAATTTTTGTTTCTGTTTGGAATAAAGAAAAATTCTTCAGAATGTAAGAAAAAATGTATTCATTGTTTTTCGATGCAAATTGAATGATTTTATGAAAAGTTCAACACAATCAGTTCAAATTTTGGTCTCTCATATTGAACCAACTTCAAACTGATGACGAATTAACATTATGTTTCAGTTTTATTGAAGTATGGAACGTCATAGTACAAGTTGATCGTGGTGGTATTGTTATCATAACTAAGCAATGGCTCATAGAACTTAGATGAAATAGGTTGGTTCTGACAGATAATAAGCCCATTCAATTGCTCGAATCGAGAAATCCGTTTGGCCTTATATTTGAATGTCGTTGGTGAGTATGGAACAACATATCGTAAACACTCCAATTTGTAACACAAACTATCCATCTTCCGATTTGCATGTCCATTTTTACAAAATTACTTCATAAATTCCCAACATGTTTATTTCTATTCGAAAGAGAATTTATTTGGCTTTTATTTGATGTATCGGTTGATTAACAAAAAATTCATCCAATAGCTATTAATAAATTAAGAGCAAATCTTGATAAAAATTGCAATTAAGTCGTTAAATTGATCAAATTCAACGTGGCTTTGTTCATCGAAACGATCGATTTTAAATGAAGCATTCACGCAATTTTTTCTCTCGAAATTTAAATTTAAAAAAAAGTCCGTGCATTTCATGTTGAATAATGAATTTCAAGAATAAAACTGTGAAATAAAAAGAAACAAGTTCAAGAGAAGCTTCTGTAGTAAATTGAGCTCTTGAACTTTATTCGATTGGTGTCGGTTATGTGGTATGTTAAGCTATTTTGGTTACGATATCTCTTTGGTAAATTAGATTTTATCCATAGAAAATCTTTTTTGCGCAAATTTTACATTATTTAGTACTGGTTAGTGCATTTATTTGTTAAAAAATATTCAAAAACACACCAAAATGTTCACATGAAATCCAACTATTGGATCATATATACTCAATTTTGTCTATGACTGTGAATAAACGTTTCTTTTTGTATTGAACATTTGTATTTAGCTACAAAGCTGAACAAAAACTGGCCTAGACTAAAAAAAAATATTACAAATCAACTGCTAATTTACCATTTCTATAAATCCAATTGATTGAACACAGCAAAAAAAAGAACCAAAGAAGTATTGCCCGAAGCAAATTTTAATGAGCGTTCATAAATTGTTTGCACCTCCGAAAATTTCGACATATTCAACCGATTCCAAATCGATTTATAGTAGTTTTGTTTTGCCCATTCCATACGTTCTGATTTTACTCAAGCAGCATTGCTATACAGTGTGTCAAGGCATCAAAAAAGGTTCAAATTGCCGCGAAAACAATTGAATTTTGAATGGATCTTTTTGGTGTTGTCAGATGGGGCCATAGACTGTTACGCAAACCCAGTTTGGGAAATGACATCCACTCACAGTGTTTATTTTTGGACTGAAATCGTGAATTGGGAGATTTTTTTAATTTTTTTTTTTTCAATTTTCTCACTCCACAGTGGGTCCAACATGTGTATACCGATGGAAATTTTTCAAGAATTCTTTTTGGTTTGGCTAGTGAAACCTTAAGCTATGTTTTAGAGTGATTTCTACTATTGCTAAGTGGACACACTTTGTTTGGCTGGACAAGAAGTGAGGTTATGATTTTTTGAAGAAAAAAAAATTCGAGTTCTGACGGTTTTCCTCATCAACCTATACCCTAAACCAATGTGTCAAACATTATAAATCGATTCTTCTGGACATGATCAATAAATTTTATTAAGGCCAAATATTGAAATAATCATTATTGGAAGGCCAAATCCTGAAATACCAAAGCAGTCCATACAATCCATTGATTGACGAAGACTATGTGAAAAAAATACAATGCCCGATACAGCCATCAGATGGCTCGAATTCCTTTTAGCAATTATTGGCCAGGGCATTGAAGAAAATACACCCAAAATTTGAAGTTGCTTCTATGCCTATTCGCGGAAATATGGTGCTTTCCACACAAAAAATGACTTAAAATTGGCTTCTAAGAAGAGAAGAATAAATCAACCAAGAAGGCGAATGGATCAAATATTGAATTGTTTGCGCCCGAGCTGATGGTCCAAATAAAATGAATCAATGATAAAAATCTAATAATTTTTTTGTTTTCTTTAAGTTTTCACCCGCTTTTGATGCCTTGACACACTGTAAATTAATGAGAGTAAGTTTTCAGTAGATTTCGTCAAGTCATTTACATTACTATAACCGGATTAACTCCAAAAAATTTATTAAAATGAAGGTGAAATTAGTAAATTTTCTGTTCATTCTGAAATCGATATCATGCGACTTAGGTGACGGTGCGAAAGGTATGTGACTGCGCCTGTATCAAATGATTTTCTTCAGACCATCAAATATTCATCACAATCACACTCTAATGCTAAGTAGATGAGTCATCTTAAGGATTTCTCGAAAATATGTTGGTTGCCCCAAGATTTGTGGCTGACTCTCCTCGGATTTTCGGTGGAAAACCCGCTTCTAATGGCCAAGCACCATACCAATGCTCTATTTTTATGGAATATTCTCACACACAATATGAAAATATTTGCGGTTGCACAATTATATCCGTTCGTTGGGTTCTTACAGCTGCACATTGTCTTCGGTAAAGAAAAAATCACCTAAAACCACTCAATACTTAAATAAAATCGAATTTTTCTAAATCTAAAACAGTTATAATATTATAAATGAAATGCGAATAAGAGTTGGATCGAACAAGATTAGTTCGGGTGGTCAAGTCCTTCATGTGGAAGAAACAATTTCACACCCATCATTCACGAAATTTCGAAATGACATTGGTTTGATTCGTGTCCAAGGGAATATCACATTCAATGATAAAGTGAAAGCAATTGAGTTGGAAACTAAGGAGGTACCGCCTGGAACTGAGCTATTGGTTACTGGTTGGGGAACAACTGAAGTGAGTGAATGTGCTCCAATTAAAAAAAAAAACATGGATTCTTAAAAGAATATGAAATTCTTTTAGACAGGCGATTCAGAGGATCTGCAACAGCTCAAGGTAAATGCTCTTTCCGATGCAGAATGTAAGAAAGCATGGAATTTTGTCAAGGAGGACATTCTTTGTACATTTAAAGGAAAAGGCGAAGGGATGTGCAACGTGAGAAAATGTTTTTAGCACGATAAATACGAATGACATCTGGTTTAACAACGATTTTCTTTTCAAAGGGTGACTCCGGTGGTCCTCTGGTCTGGAGTAATAAACTCGTTGGAGTAGACTGCTTTGCGCATCCATAAGTTGTCGTTTCGTTTTGATTATTAGCATTTAAATATTTGTGGTTTTATTTTACATTGTAGCTGTGCCAAAGGAGTTCCTGATGGTTTTACGAAAGTATCCCACTTCATCAGCTGGATCGAAACAATCACGAACTAAGTAACGTTGCCATTCCAGATGAGCTTTTAACATGACGAATCCAAATTGGTCGTTTAATTGTTGATGTTTTTAACTTGGATTTATTAGTTTCTTTTCTTTTACATTCGATTCCAAATTGATTGACACAGCAAACTCTTCACGACTTTTCGACATGTTTCAATGTCAGCTGTTCAGTTTTGGTGGATTGAAATGAAAAAAGAACGTAAAATTGCAAATTTTGCATCTTTCAATATCTTTGGCTTCTTTGATCTCAAGTTTATTTTGTACACGCGCCAACATTTTTAGAACGGTCTTTTAGCTCTGAAGAGAGTTACATCGCAGTATGTGTTCAGAAAAGCCATGCGGACGCAATTCGAACAGGCACATCAGAAAGGCCTGTCGCCGGCGCGTTGAACTCGTTTTTATACACACATTTCTTCGAAAATGTTGTTCTTTTTAAATATAAATTCATTGTGCTTTCATCAACTTTCGATAGATGTCGGTAAAATTCACAAAAAATAATCAAAAGTACCTACGGACAACGCAGGCCAACGGTACGGAAAAGTTCGGGATTACCAATGTAATTCTTTTTATTTGTTATTAAATATTAATATCAATAAGTTGAATTGGGTTGAAAATATTCCAATTAAATAAGAAAATACTCTAAGTGAGTTAGTTATATTTGAAGAAAACTTCAAGTCAACGGTCGAAGCAGTTGACAAACTGATATTTCAGTGAACGAATAATGACAAGTTTTTTTTAAAAAATAAATTGACAAAAAAAAATTTGGTACATCAAAAGATGGATCGAAAACCTATTTTAATTTCTATGATTAAGAAATTGATAAAATGATGTAGAAAAGCTTCATGGAAAAAAGCCAAACATGACTCAATTCGGTGAAACTGAAACTTAAACTGAAACTAAGTTCTCCATTATGTATCACAAATTCCCCTTCATGCGCACTAATTCAACTTTCACCAGTGTTGAATCAACACTCGGAGGAGTAAAGATTCGATTTAATGGAAGTTGCGGTGGTATGGCTGTCGATTTTGACGTTTCTATGAAGAAATTCGCTTTCAGCTTGAAATAAAATACTGTGCTTCAACTTCATTCAGTGTTTTGAAATGAACAATCTTCTACATTTTTGCAATCTATTTACAAAATTGTCAGAATTAAATCCACTGTCGTTATTTCTTGCATACTAAACATTTCAACATCGACAAGAAATCGAGTGACTAAATTTACCTACACAGTTTTTCAAAACATTCAGAATTTCCGAAGAAAAAAAAACGCGAAATTCTTTGAAACATCGATAAATTAGTAACTTTCAATTGAAAGTATCATATTACAGTCAGAACAAAAAAAAATACCACCTCTAAGCAGTGATTAACAAAAAGTGTGACAAATTACCGGCGATTCATAATATCAACAAGTTCGCATTTGGAATTGAGAAAAATAAAAATGAAATTCTGGAATACAATGGTAATTTGGCACGAATTAGAAAGTGTTTTTGTTGTTATTTCGTAATTTGTATGCAATTATCAGTGGGGTGTATGTAAGTTGCTATAATGCAATATACAAGAGATAACTCTGACAATTCCTATCAGCTGAATGGAGCGAGGCGATAGTATGCGCACTGCACACACATACATTCAAAAGCAAATCAAAGCTCGGAACCGTTTCTCTATTCGTATCATCCAATTCTCCAACTTCCATCGGGATTTTCCCCTCTTCTACGCTTTTATATACTGTGAAGCTTTTGCTATGTTGTGATTGTTATCAATGAATGAATTTCAGCTTTGTATCAAGCTAAAAGTTTTAGCTTGAAATCTACCACAAGAAATCGCCCGAGTTGAATCGTTTTTCCCGCCTTTTTTCATTCTATCTTCTAAAGTTCACTCATTCGGTACTTTTAACGAATTCTCCCAGTTACTATTTTAATTTTTTGTTTGAAAACTAATTTCTTGGTTTCATTGTAAGCTTGATTAAGTTGAATCATATCCTAAATTTTTTTTTGGTTAAGAAAAAATTTTGGTAATAAAGAATTCTCAAAATAAAATAAAAACGAATAAAATTGAGTGTTATCAAGAAATTGAACCAAATTTGAAGCCAAAACATCGAAAAAAAAATTATTTCCAAACTAAACGTGGATTTTTACTTTTTTTTGGAACAGTTTGCAAAACTTATTAAAGAAAACCTGGTTCTAAGGTGGAAATGTCATGTCCAACTGTAAAATACTGTCTTTGTTTCATCAATTTGAAATTGGCTGGCATTTTATTGGGTGTAATAGACATTTTGTGGCGTTCCGCGCATATTTATCTGATTCTCAAAAGTAATGGAAACATCTCCGTTGACTCCATGTAAGGTTTGATGTAAAAAAAAAAGTCATTTTTTTGCTTTAAAATGTAATTCAAGCATTTGAACAGTGAAAAAAATTATTTGAATGAAATAATGCCTAGAAAATAATGAATAAACATCATTTGCTCGTACACTTTTTCGAATCCAAAGTCAACTCAATGCTTTGTACTTTTCCTAGTTTTGGATTTTACAAGAATGAATACGCATCAATTTCTGGATATACAATTGTGGCACATTGTAAGTTAAAAAATGTCTATATTTTGCTTTTTCTTTTTTTGAAGAAAAATTTTGTTGTTTTCCATAATCTGACTGAGTTTGTCTCTCTCTCTGAAAAGAATTCTACTACTTATAACTTACTGGACAATCTAAATTTTTTCTCTCTTTGGCTTCTTTGAAAAACGGAAAAAAAACAACCGTCCAGGCATTTGCATTCCCATTTCTGTGCTGTGGCTTATAGGCATTTTTACCGTAAGTTAACTTCGAAGTGAAAAATTTTCTGTAAATTGAACGAATTCAAAAAAAAAATTGAACTATTTTCGGTAGGGAACGTGGTTCAATAGTTCAATGTTTGAACGTAGTCGTTTGAACAATTAGTGTCCTCAATTAAGATAATTTTTCACCTTATCTCAAGAACGTTTTCTTCCACAGCAAATACCAGCGCTAATGGTCCCATCACTAGTTGTGTCGTTCATCTCATTCTTTCTATTGGCCTTTTTGTCATCTCTGTTTTGGTTTACGGCGTTCGAAGATCGAAGGCGATTGATGGTTATCGTTTTTATTTGTTTCTGCATCGCAGGTATCCTTCATTTTAATTCAAAAAAAGTTCTAAGAATCTATTTTCGAATTTTAATTCAATTCTCTAATCAATTTCAGCCTTTTGTTTTCATCTGTGGATCGTCCAGTTGTCTCTCTATAAATCGCTGAAAAGTGCCGACATCGACCGAATTGATCAAAGAAACAGATATGAGCTTCGAGTCTTGGATGGGATTTGAATGAACGAAAACAGGACGAATTTAAAATTGCTGACAAAATGACATGGGCCTAATCAAATTATAACATTTTGGATATCCACATGACGTCATATTTGCAATGTCTCTTGCTGTGTCAAATACTAAAATTCATTGGCAAAACACGTGTCGTTTAATGTCCAGCAGTTACATCATGCTGGGCATCACTGCTGAGATAAAAAATGAGATGTCGATGAAAAACACCGAAATTCTCAAAGTGGAATTAACAAACACCTAATGTCGAGAAAAACTGTCTCAAATATTGATTACTGAGACACTTACTAGAATAAGCTAAAATTGTCAAAGAAAAGGAATAGATATTAGAACACTACTATACTCGTTGTTAAATTAGAATCCCGGGTGTAAATTTTTGCTACTGAATTGCTTCTAAAAAGCATTGATGAATCGGACAGTTTTGCTTCTTTTTTCTGAATTTCTTCTGAATCCAGCGAAGCACTTCTGAATGCTCCTGAATTGCTTCGTTTTCATCTGAATTTCTTCTGAATCCGGCGAAGCACTTCTGAATGCTC